AGGGGACAATGAGCTCCTATTAAGGGTGATGGAAAATTTGGGAACAGTCACTGGTGATGGGTGACCAGCATGATGAACATACTTCATGTCAATGACTGTACATGGGGAAGACTGCTAGATGGGAAAGGGTTTGTTACCTATACGTTTATCACAATAAAGGAGAGAGAGAGAGAATGCCATAAAGAACTGGAAGGCAGCAAACAATGGCATCCATGGACCATAAACACTGAGGAGTCCTTGGAAGATATGAAGAAGGTATGACCATATCTACAGAAAAACAGGAACCACAGCCCAGGAAGTACCCAGAGACGACTGAGGTCAGACTCACCAGGGAGCTGAATGGCCCCTGGAGGACAAGAACCACCCCAGTTTAAGAGCCACTGCGGCAGAGACTACAGAAGGAGAGAGGTGACTGAGGGGAAGGGACAGACTGAAAAGATGTCCCTGGGCTGGAAAGCAGACATACGTCCAAAATGGAAGCTATGTTACGTGGTACAAAGAATGAATTACAAAAACCTGCAGCAGCACACATGGAGGGGACATCTTTAAACATGAAGGACACAGAGAAACAATCTCCGCTCCAGAAAGAGGGGAGGACAAGGGTTGGCCATAGAGCAACGAGAACCAGAGGACAGGACTGCACCCTTCCAACAGTGGTGCTGGCAGGCACTGGAGCAACACCAACACTTTCGGGAGGAAAATGATTTTGCCCAGAGTCAATACTCAGCCAAACTGCTATTCAAGAACAAGGTCAAGAGACAGAAGAACTAGATGGTGCCGGGCTACCACTGTCAACCACTTGGAGGGGGATCTATGTGGGAGATCCTGGATAGAGTGGGAGAACAATGTGGAACAAAACTCAAAATCATTTGGGTGGGGGGAAGGGACCAGGTTTGCTGGTCTGATAAAGCCTGATGGAACCACTGAGACTATGGCCCCTAGCTGCTCTTCAGGTCTGCAACTGAACCCACTTCTGTGGCTTCCAGCCAAACAAAAGACAGGCATATGAGGTAAATATTTACACTAGGGTAGGTACACTCCTTGGAGGGAACAATCATGGGAAAATAGAAGGGCTGTGTATGCACAGGGAGACAGGGAGAGAGCTTGAGGGGCAGGAGTGCACAGAGGGAAGGACACAGGGAAGAGGTAACTACGGGGAAGAAGTGGGAGGGAAGCTGTTGCACTGTGGTAAATTATAATCAATGTCATGAGACAAAGCATATGTGAACTGCTGTATGAAAGTGAAATTGCTCTGTAAACTTTCACTCAAATCACAATTTAAAAAAAAAAAAAAGAATGAGGTCAAAAGAAAAGTCTCTGCAGACACAGTAACCCCCCCCCTCAAAAAAACACACCCAACCCACTGCTATCTAGTTGATTCTGACTCACAGCAGCCCTATAGGACAGAGTAGAACTGGCCCGTACAGTTTCCAAGGCTGTAAACCTTTAAGGAAGCAAACTACCTCAATCTTTCTCATGTGGAGTAACTAGTAGGTTCAAACTGTAGACTTTTTGATTAGCAGTCTAATGCTTTAACCACAGCACCAGCAGAGCTCTTTATAGACACGAGCTGAGAAAACTTACAGCCTACAGACTTGTTCTGTAAAACAAACACAGGGTATATTCTGGGAAAACAATAAATCTGTTTTGGTTCTCTACTGCCATTCTAACAGAAAATACCTCAACTGGGTGCCTTGAACAAACAGGGATGTGTCCTCTTTTGGAGGCTAGAAGTCCGAGTTCAAAGTGCCAAGCTCTAGAGGCCAGCTGAAAGCCCCTCGACCTTGGGCTTCAGCTCTGCCTCTTGTTCCCGGCCCGCTAGAGCTGGAGACGTCTCTTAACTTAGGCAGTTGCTGGTAGATGAGGTCAGCTAAGGCTGACAAAGCCAAGGTCGATAAATAAAATGCACAGTCCCAAGATTATCAAACAACATGGCAGGCCCCTAGTTAAAGCCCAGAGACAGTCCCAAGATCGGCAGACAACACGGCAGGCCACACTCACTGAAGACTTGGCTACACGCAGGACCCAAGCGTGCCAAAAAGCTCCAGAGGCCTTTCCCAAAGCTGCTGCTTATACACAGGAAGCAGACCACACCCCTAAGGCAGCTGTTGGGCTGCTCACAGTAGATTCCACCATGAATTTGATCACCAGTCTCATCATGGGCAATAACTGCATCCAGCTGCCCAGCCACTCACAACCAGGCCCAGCCAAGTGGACACACAACTTAACTACCATAAAGTCCCAAACACAGAGGAAGATGTTGGATACAAAGCCAGTAATAAATTACAGTAATAAAGAAACAATAATAATTATAGCTGTCTGTTAACACACAATGTTACTTTAAAACTTGTGGTTTAAGGAAAGCATACAACAAAATCAAATGGGTTAGTAGAAAGAGATATGAAGATGAAATCCACAGACAATATAAAAATGTCACTGCCAAATGGGCAGGGAGGCCACATCTTCTGACCTCCTGTAACCCCACAAGAGGAAGACAGAATCACCATCAGCAGCCCAAGGCCTGTCCCTGTGAGGCCAGACACGCTGCCTTCCTTCAGCCCTTTCACCAACCCTGACACCAGCCTTTCCTCCTGCAGCACCCACCACCTCTCTGCTGGGTTGGATAATTTGCTGCAGTGGCCACGCAGAACTCACAGATTATAGGGTTATTAGGGAAGCACCAGGCTACAATTCAAGTTCAGGAAAAATGCTCAGTCTCCCTCCCAGCAATGCGTGTCTCTTTGTGTCTCTTTCTCAGCAGCATGTCCTTCTCAGCCAGCAGTCAGAGACTTCTGCCTCTAGGAGGCCTCCTTTTGAGCATGGCAGAGTGGCCAAACTAACCAATCATAATGTCAGAATTCTAAGCACCTGAGAGAGAATGAACTTCCAAGAACATTATTTCCTGCTGCTCACAACAGAAATACCCCACCCAGGTAGATGATTTTAACAATCAGAAGCTACTCAGTTTCTCACAGCAAATTCCACCATAGAGTTTACAAAGACTTATGGCTAGAAAAGCCATACCAGGTAATTTACTACACTGCAGTCATGAAACAAATGAAGAAGAAAAAAAACTTAGTAATCATACAAATGTAAAACTACACAAGATATCTTTCACAGAGCACTATATTTCTGCGGAAATAAAACCCATAATATTCAGTGTTGGAGAAGATGAAACTGAAGTCTCATTCCCAGCTGATGGGAATATTTGAAAGCAACTGGAATTTAAACATTTAAAGTAAATTAAGGTAGGCTCAGGATCAGCAATGCTACAACTAATTCCAGAATTTTAAAGAAATACCACAAAGTAGAATGTGCAAGCACATTTCAGCAGTCTACTTTCCATTCAGCTTTGTAACCAATGGAAATAATCATTGCTGTGTCCATTAACAAAGCTGTGAATGGAATGAGGCCATGTCCATACTACAGAATACTGTGTAGCCACTGGCAAGCCTGGAGACCTGGATACTGATGTGAAAAATATGTAAGGCATGCTGGGAGCTTAAAAAAAAAAAAAAAAGGATTCTGCCTGCAAAACGCTTGTTATATGAAATTAGTCAGGTTGTTGCTGCTGGATACCCTGGAGCATTTTCGACTGGTAGCGACCCCATATGACAGAGGTGAATGCCCTACAGGGTTTCCTAAGCTGTAATCTTTATGTAAACAGATCACAAAGTCTTTCCCTGGCTCAGGTACTGGGTAGGTTTGAACCACCAACCTTTCAATTAGCAGCCCAGTGCTTAACCACTGCACAACCTGGTCTCCTTTAAATCAAGTCACACAAGTAGTTACATACGTTTATGTGTGTGTAACTGAGTGTGCAAACAGTCAAAAACGAAGCATCAACTCTACGGCAACCAACAAGTGAGCGTGGAAAGCATGGAAGAAACGCAGAAATCTTCACCGTGGTTACTTGGGGGGAAGCAGGAAAGCAGAGACTATGCCATATGGAGCCCCCACCCCCAACTATTAGCTGCACATCTGCCGACCTCAGGCCCTGAGGACACAGACAGCAAGCCACAGTCCCTCAGCTCCACCAGGCGCCCAGAGACTCTTGTGGGTCCTGTTCACTGCGCAGCCTCCGAACCCCGAACCCCTGCAGGGGGCAGCCCAAGCACGCCAGCATTTGTCCAATGAACGAAGGCGGAATGGTTTGTGCAGGACACATGTACCCAACACCCTGGGACGGGGGAATGACAACAGAATTAAGGGGACTTATGTCCACCTAGACAGCTCTGGTACCGCAGGGGTATTTAGCTGTTAACCAAAAGGTCGGTAGTTCAAACCCACCCGCCGCTCCACGGGAAACCGATGAGGCCTCTGCTTCCACAAAGACTGACAGCTTTGCAAACCCTACGGGGCAGTTCCACTGTGTCCCACTGGGTCCCTAGGAGTCGGAATCCACTCGATGGCAGCGGGGTTTGTTTCTGTAAACGCCCACCCAGAAGCCACTCGGAACAAAGGTCACGGCCTTGACAACCCTACGGAGCACAGCGCTACTGCACACGCCTGGGGTCGCCGCGAGCGGGAGTTCCCCGAGGACAACGAACACGTCACCAAGCTGACGTAGCTCCCAGCACACGTGCCCGCTCTAAGCGTCCGCCCTCCACAACCACTGCACCGGCTTGTTTCCCGCCGGCCTCTCCCCACCAGACAGTCAGCTCCCGGAGAAACGAGACCGCGGCCACTCCGCGTCTCCCCGGCCTGGAACCGGCCCGGAGCCCGGGGACGAGAGTGGGGAGAGGGGCTGGGCTGGCGAAGCCCCTCCTGGGAGCGACTACAGCGCCCGGGAGGCTCGCCCGCGTCACTCCCTGGAAGGAACACGAGGCAGTGCCCGAGTGGAGGACAAGCAAAATGAACCCCAGTCGTGCTGAGCGCTCACCACACGCCACTCGTCCTCGCGCCCCTCCACATCCAGCGGCTGTCACGGCTCCCCTCACGGAACCCTGGAGGAGACGCCGCTCGCCCCGGCCCGCTGCCCTCCGGGCGACGCCCCTCACCTCTCGGGGCGGCCGCCAGCACCGGCGCCCGCAGCGGAGCCCGGAACTGGCGGCCCCACAGCAGCAGCGCCCGCAATTCGCGCGCCATGGCCGTCCTCCTGCAGCGCCGCGCCCACCACCACACAGAGGCGGCGGGCCGGCAGGACGGGCCTTCCTCGGGGGCGCGGCGCTGTGACATCACGGCGCGCGCCGGGCTGCCCCGTCGGCCGCCTGTGCGGGTGGTGAGCGCATCCCCGTGGGGCGTCAGTGTCGCGGGGACCGTCGGGCCTGGGGGCGGGACCTCCATGACCTTGTGACGCGTTGTCAAGAGCGACTGTCCCTGCACACAAAGCTGGGTGTGGTGGGCTGAGTGCCCCGGGCCCTTGCACGCACCCTGGGCCTCAGTTTCTCCATCCCCAAAACGGGGCAGATACGAGTACCACGGGGCGGGCGTGCGCAGACGGCGCCCGGTAACCAATGAACATTCCCGGGCCATCCTTCTGGACCTCTGGAAGCCAGTCTCTTCCAAACCAAGGCACGCACGTAGCTGAAAGTCAGAAATTCCACGCTTGTCTTCGCCAAAACGTGAACTCAGCACCCTCCCCGCTAGCCACGCTGGGCTGCTTCTCCGGGTGCAGGTCTCTCACCCCACTGACCCCCGCGCGAGGGTAGGGTCTGGGTACACACGAGCAGTGCACCTTCGTCTCCGCAGGCCTCCGTGCGCCTTAAACCTGCATTCCCGACGCCTGCTCGACCCGGAGCGGGACCCAGCTGGTCTTACCTTCCCCAGACGCTGTGAGGCACTGAAGTTTGAGATTCGCCAGCTTCGTCCCGGAATTGTACAAAAACGGAGTTAACTGAGCTTGTGTCAAGTACTGCAGACTTAGGGGCCCCTCAGGAGCCTCAGAGGTGGGGTGTTGGGTGTCAGGGAGCTTTCCCCGGGGAGGTGTTAAAAATGACCCCAAGTTCCTGGCTTAACGACCTGAGAAAACAAACAGAAACCAAAGTTACTGCTGTTGAGTCGATTCTGACTCATAGCGACCCCCTTTGGGTTTCCGAGGCAGTAAATCTTTAGGAAGTAGATTGCCCAGTCCGCCTTCAGAGGAGTGGTTGGGGCGTTTGAACCGCCAGCCTTCTGGTTAGCAGTCAAATGCCTTAGACACTACTCCAAGGACCTGAGAAGGGGAATCTAAAGACAGGTGGCAGATTCCAGTGGAAGAGCCATCTGTCCCCCAGACTCCAGCAGCCTCCTAACTAATCCCCCTGCTTCCACTATTGCCCACCCTCTATCTGCAGACAGTCAGAAAGTTCAGAGACAGCTCAGAGGACTTCCAACAAAGCTTCAGAGCCAAGAACGCTCCTGTTTGTTTGAGATGTTAAAGGCTTCAGGTTCAGAGAAGCAACTTGTGACCTGGTGGCATGTACACAGGGTTTGGTGTGTTTCTGAAAGTCCTTTTCATTGTTGCAGGACTGTGATGGCAACTCAGCGTGGGTTGTTGGTGGCGGTGGCGCATGCCGTCAGGATGGCAGTCACTCATGCTGACCCCATGTACAACAGTGAGCATCTGCCCGGTCTCGCGCCATCTTCATGCTTGGTGGTATGTTTGAGGCATCTGTGGCTGTTGTGTCAGTCTGTCTCATGGAGGGGTCCCTCATTTTTGCTGACCCTCCACTTTACCAAGCATGACATCCTCTCCTAGCAGTTGGGCTTTTCTCATGACATGTCCAAAGTAAGCAAGCTGAAATCGTGTCATAATCACTTCCAAAGAGCATTCTGGTTGTACTTCTCCTAAGATTGGTTTATTCTCTGCAGGTCCGTGGTATAGTCAGTATATTCAGTCGCATCAATTCTTCTGTCTTCCTGTTTCACTGTCTGGCTTTCCCATGCATAGGAGACAACTGAAAAGACCATGGCTAGAATCCAGTAGAAGGCGAGTGTTCAGTTCACTCCCTTGATAGGTGTTGCCCAGTATGTCTGATGGACGTCGGTCCCCAGCCAGTTTTGAGACCTGCCTAAGGTAACAGTCAGAGCTGCCTGGAACTAGGCACGGACCCCACCTCTACACCTGCTGGGATTCGGCTGGTGGGTGGGGCTGTGCCAGACGCAGACCCAGAGTGCATGATGGAGCCGGGCCTGGGATGTCCTGAACACTCTGATTTCACGGAGCGCTTGGAGACTTTTTCTCCAAATGGCCTTGTTCTGCCTTGCCAGTGGTCACTCTTAATCTGTCACCTAGTGTCCACCAGGAGATGCCGCTCGCACATGGCAACTGCTGCCAACTGAAAGGTTGGCAGTTTGAACCCACCCTCTAAGGGCACATACACAACGACCACCTATTCCCAGGACCCCTGGCCCAGGCGAGGACCCCAGGTATTCGACAGGACAGGAAAGAGTGTGGCAGCTGGAAGTATGGGCTGCCTTGCTTGCTGTGACAGGAGAAATAGGGGCAGTACCGCGCTGCAGGCACCCCAAGAGCACATCCCTCCACACCTTCTAGGACTCTCTGGACAGTTCCTTGGAGACCTGTGGCAACAGCTTCAGCCTGGTTTGGAACATTCCCTGAACATCATTCCTGCCCTTCGAGAGTTCTGTGGTCTGAATTTTGTTGACACACCTGTATCTGATTTTAGCCAGTTCAGAAAATGCTTCCCCTTTGCAGGTCCAGAGAACACAGCCCATTTTGGTCACCTGGCTCGCTCAGGGTGAGAGGGAGGTTTTAGGTTAGGCTACAGCAGTAGCACGGACACACTGGGCACCAAGGTCAACTGACACTGGACATGTGTCGTCTGATATCCAAGTTCACCAGTGGCACCAGCCCAGGTCCATTACATGGTGTTGGTTACCATTTACCATCTGTACAGTGTGTGAAGGCTCCGACTAACAGTCCAACTCCAGCTACTCAATCTTGGGCTACAGTTTATTATAATTCGCCCACTGCCTTAAGGTGCCTCAAAGTGGGTTCAAGGCAAACGTAGGGCTTCGAGCCCCTCTGGGAGCCTCTGCCCAGCTCTGCACAGGCTCTACCACCTGCCACTGTAGGAACTGTCCCATTTCCCCTCCCTTATCCATAGCATAGAGAAGTTAGTCCGTTTATTTTAAACAGCATGGGTTACATATTATTTTCCCACCTCTTTGCTTTTCTAGGAGCCTTGGTGGCTCAGCGATGAAGCGCTTCCCTAAATGAAAGGTTGGCAGTGCTAACCCACCAGCCTCTGTGAGGGAGAAAGATGAGGCAGTCTTGGAAACCCTCTGAGGCATCTCTGCTTGGTCCTATAGGGTTGCTGTGAGTTGGAATCACCAGATGGCAGTGGGTTTGGTGTTTTTAAAGGGGTTTTCACTTTGCTATTTAGATGGAAGACTGGTCAATCTACTTCCGTAGAGATACTGCCTTGGAAACCCAAGGAGGGGTCGCTATGAGTCGGGATTGAGCTGCCAGCATTGAGTTTGGTGGTTCTTCTTCGTGTTATTTAGATGGAGGCGTGTGCTTAAAGCGAAGCCACGGCAGTACTCTGGCCAATGTTCGGGATGGAGGTGTGCACCAAGGCGAAGGCCAGGCTGGGGTCGTGGCCTGGGGTTCTGGAAGGAGGCACTCGCTCGAGGTGGAGGTCATGGTGGTGCTGCAGCCCAGCGTTCCTGACCGCTGCACGCTCCGGGCATCTGGTACTCAACCCCTTCCACCTCCAGCTCTGACCTCTTGCCCCAGAATCTCTTCCTAATGCCTTTAAAACACGTTCTTAATCAAGGTCTTAGAGAGCTGTCTGCTCCCTTTGAACTTTTTGGTCTGGCAAACGAATTTGCCGGCGATGAGGCCTCAGCAGATGGGAGTCAGTCCTCTGTAGGGATGTGAACCCGGCTCGGGTGCTGCGACATCCACCACCACCATTCTCATCCACTCCCGAAGTTCTCCCAAGCCTTGCGGTGTCGGCCTCCCACTTCCCACCTCCTGCCAATCTCATCGCCACTCATGCTCTCCCACCCTCGACTCTCCAGGGCGAGCACTGAGCTGACACACTAACCATACATGTGGAAAGATCACACGCCATGGCGCTGAGGTCCAGTGTGCTCGACACATGGCCGTGTTCTCTTCCCGTCTGCCCCTGCCTCTGGAGAGCAGGGCTTTGGCAGCTGCTTCCCAGCACAGCTCTTCGCCGTGGCACATCTCGGCTGCAGCACTCAACCAACCCCTTGATAGAAGGGGCTTGATTGGTGGTTTTTTTTTTTTACTACAATGGCGTATTTCCCCATGACATGCTCAAAGCACACGTTGGCTCCAGTCAACTCTCTGGTCCGTTTTAATGCACTCCAAAGAACACAGACTGTTACATGTCTTCAACTTGAGATTTCCGGGGACGCTTCAGCCCGTTCCTTAGGTGATCCAGAAGGATTTTATGCTATGGGCCAGTTTAACACGTCTTCAAAAACATAAGCATGTGCCCTGGACATCCAGGTGCCACCATCTCGGCCTGCTGAGCTTCCTCCGCGGGGTGTTTCGCCAGCTTTTCTCCTAACACCAGGGCGTGTCCAGGCCTTCTTTTGGATCACAGTGCAGGGCTGCTTCCTTCTAAGTGCACAGCAGGACACTCGGCTTTGGGGCCTTCCACATCTTACAGCCCCACCCTTCAGCCTGGTCCTCTGACATCTTGATTGCTTAGAACTGTGGCCTGGGAAGCAGAATCCAAGGAGGACATTAACACACGATTCCAGACAAACCTGAGCGCAGCTCTCTGCTCGCGCACCTGTGAGCCACTGGGGCTACCTGGCCAGCGCCCCGACATCCACCAGGCTCACTGCTTTCTGCCTTCAGCACTGGCCTCAAGTTGCACCGTGGGTGGGGGCATGGTCCTAGGGTTTAACGTGACACAGTCTGATTTAACCAATCGGGAAAGCTCAAGCTAGGCAACGCTGTGCCGCATCATCTACCCTCCGAGTTCCTCTCCAAGTCCGAGTCCACAGTCTAGCGTTTTAAAAAGCTGTCAACACAGGTCAAAGGGAGGCTGTCTGGCCAGGACTTTTAAATCTGCCCCCAGCACCCTGTGATCCAGCCTAGGATGAGACTGGTCCAGACCACCGACTTCCACCTGTCCCCGGCCCTCCCGAGATAGGACGTG